GAGGTCGGCGCTGGGAAAGGGCAGCGGACGCGACTGGGCGCGGAGTAGGTCCTAGGAGACGGCCCACAGCCGCAGCGCGCAGAGCCGAGCCGGGGGCGCGAGGGCACTGTTTTCCCGGTTCGCCCCGAGGGGTGAGAACACGCTTGTAAACCCCGATTTGCCGTAAGCCAAGATCCCTCTGTTTCGGCCCTTGCGGAGAGAGATCCATATGCGAGGAGCGTGAAGGAGTTGCTCCTGCAGCCTCTCCTCTAGAGCCAAAGGGATTGGGGCAGAGGGGGTTCTCTTAAGAGTTCTTTGCGGGGTAAAGCTGCGGCCCGCGCTTCCCGGGCTGGGCCCTCCGCAAGGACAAGCTTCTGGCTTTTTAAGGTCAAGTTTCCCTGCCGCAGAGCCGGCGGGGATCGTCCCCCTTCTAAATGCCGGTGCCTTCCCAGCCGGCTGGGAACCTGCAGAGATCTAAGCGGAGTTGACTTTACCGTCTTTACGTGGGCGAACGGGCGAACGGTGCGAGTGGGTGGGTATTGTTTTGTAAATGTTAAGAGCTAAGCTTTCCGGAGTGGAGATGCTGTGGGAAACTAGAAAACATCCTTTTGCTGAGCAAACGGAGGGGTGATGTTATCCCTGGAGCACACCCCCAACCCCTTTTTTTCTTATCTTTAGAATTAAAGAGCAACAAACCAGAAGATTAAGGGAGTTGGGGATACTATTAATTCGTTTATATCTCTCATGTGATTTGGAAGACATAGAAATCACCCTTTTTGATCTTACATGCATAAAACATGCCCTTATTATTAAGCCATCTTTTAGCCTGACATTCTAGAAACACAGTTCTTTTTGGCAGCTATGGTTAATAGTGTCTTGAGAAAGAAAAATCTTTGAAAGTGAATTATTGCTAAGAACTGTCCCTATGTTGCACTTTCTAAGGATCCAATTCTGTGTGAACAATGACCAATTAAGATGTTGTTGAATTATCTTTCACTTGTATTAGGAGAGAAGGAATAGCCAAAGAATGGGATTGTGTGGCACTGAATTTTCACTCAGGAAAACTACAAGGAGAGTGTCCTTGAGAGAGAAGTTTTTTACTCTTTTCTTTGGAAAGCAAGGTATATAGTGGTTTGTTAAATGTCACATCCTCACGGAGGTAGACAGGGGTGAATGACATAATTGGGCAGTAAGTCAGAGTTAGTGCTGGATGGCTGAGGGGAGAGTGGTGAGAGAACCGGATGAAGCCAGGAGAGACCAGGCTGGCATCCGGTAGGGGTGGGGGTGGATGGTGGGTGGAGTCTTAGGACAGTTTCCCATCTGAAAGTGTTCTACAGAGATGTGAATTCAGAACCCAACTCTACTGCATGAGGAATGTATTTGAGGAACCCCTAAATAAACAGGGTCTGAAAGGGTGAGGTGGAGGCAGGGATGACATAGTGACTAGACTCAAGACCAACTCTGAAGTGACTTGGAAACAATTTTATGGAAGGTGTGAGTGTGGGGAGACTCCCTCTAAGCTTGGGTGCTGTTGTTTTCAGAAGCAGGGGGCACTGTTGGAGGAGCAGGTGCCAGGAGAAAAGCCAAGCATGGTTTTGTTGGGTCTGAGCAGCTTTTCAAGGTTCCTGAGTAGCAATGCTTCTCAAGAGGCAGGATGGAGCGGGCCCTGGCTGACTCTCCAAAACTGGTTGTCACCTGTGTCAGGAGTGGTGTTTGAAGCCTGGGGTGGGCAAGAGGGATGCTGACTGAGGACTGGCAGCTGCTCACAGAGAGGTGATACAGAGGGATCGCTTTTTTAAGATGAAGGAAACTTACACATATTTAAATGTGAATGGGCTGTAGCAAGTTGGAAGAAGTTGAACATACAGACTATCTGGAACCCTTGCCCCTTGAAGTATTAGGTAAAAAGCAATTTGATTGGGGTGATATTTTAATATCAAGCTCACATAACATAAACTGTCAGTATCTTACAACATATGAAATATGTTTGAGCAATTTGAATTTTTACTTTCTAGATCATGTAGATTTAATGTTTAAGGGAAACACAGATGGTGTTCACAAAACAGAGCTGCAGCATGGGTAGGAGCAAGGCCCCTGGAGCCAGACTTGGCCCTGTCACTCCATAGCTTGTAACCTGGCATAAGTTTCTTGGCCTGTCTGTCTCAGCTTCCAGGTCTCTGAAGTGGCAGACTTGTAAGGACCCCTGAGAGGTATATGCTGTATACCTCCTTGTGGACAGATAAAGATTGCATAGGTGCCTCATCCATACACAATGTGTGCATCATGCCTGGCACATAGCAAGGTTTCAGTAAGCCCTGGTGCTGCTGGCTTAGTTATGATGATGTCATTTCTGTGATGTCATATTTCTAGACATAAAATTTCAGACCTGGAGAATTTTGAAACTTGGCCAAGACCATAGAGTCAAGAGTAGCAAGTTAAGACCAGGATCTCTTTGGCCTGACTCACAGGCAGGGGCACCTTCCACCTAGCATGTCAACAAGTGCCAGATACTGGATCTGGTTCAAGATCAACTGTAATAGGAGGATCCAGTCACTGCTCGCCAGAGTGCAGTGGAGCAAAGCAGACATTAGTGGCAACACTTACAGACTACCCAAGCAATCTAGAAATGTGTGTTTGGTATTAATTTGCATTGCTTTGCATGTCATCTTACATATGCATTCCCATATGCTAGTAAATTTCCCCAGTAGGAGCAAAGGCTGAAGTTTCAAGTATAGGAGAGAAAATAAAATTAACTAGGAATTAAATGCAGCTGTTTCACTCTTAATAGCCTCCTGGGATGGTGGGCTCAGTGCTTTTAGGAAAAGTATTGGATCTGTGTTTACTGTTTTAGAAGATAGGGGAAGCCAGATATCATTTGATAAAAGCAGGTATATCTTAACATGTTGGGAAGCTTGATCTTCCAAACAAAACAGAAAAATACAAGAAAAGTAAAAGATGACAAGAGAAAAGTTTTATATAAAAATGCCAGAAAATGAAGCAGAAGCAAAAAAAGAAGGCTTTATGAAGCCAAACTAATAAGAAACACTAAGAGTCAGCAGGTAACGGTTGAATTTCTGCTAAGCAGTATGAAAGTTTAGAACATAACTACAAGTATTTGAGTCTTTAAAACCAATCAATTCTCCCTAATTTGGACTTATTGGGAAATGGGCCATTGTATCTTAGTAAAATCTCATGAATGCAGAATATCCATAACCAAAGAAACAAAGTATGATTCTCTTACTTAGAGCAATGGTTCTTAAAGTGTGGTCCCTGGGCCAGCTAGCTGCAAAGTAACACCTGAGGACTTATTATAAATGTTGGTTCTGACCACTCAAATCTGCTGAATGGAACCTCTGGAGATGGGGCCCAGCAATGTGTGGTTTTAGTAAGTTCTTTAGCTATTTGGAGCAGCAGTCATGCCTGGTTTTTTCACTTTTTCAGCCGTAACCTTAACTTTTCTGTGTTGTGATCACCAGCTTCTTGCTGTGCCACTTGACTTTCATGCCTGCTGACCTGGGAAGTGGTTGAACGGAGACACAAACCCATTGCTCAGTGCATCTACTCAGAGCAGAGTACAGCAGGGTGGCTGATCCCTTCCCTTCCTTGGTCCAAGTCTAACCTGATGGGAGATGCTTTCTAAGACCCCCTTCCTTTCAGCCTTAGCATTCTGCAGCTCTGTAGTCCCCAAGCTGTCCAGGGCCATGGAGGTTTTGTTTCACTGCCTTTTTCTTCCTTTGGCAGCCTCATACCAAACAAACTGTGACTCATACCAAATGTACAGTCAGCCAAAACACTGAACCATCCTCTACAGATGCTCCTGTGAAGCCACATTTGTCCATCTAGTAGGCGTGCAGTTAATTTTCTGGACCTGGGAGTTTATCTCTTAAATTTCATCTTACTAGATCCAAGTCTGACACAATCTGTTTGGGTTCTATTTCTGTCCAATTCCCATATAAACTGATGTCCTCTTCTCCCTTGGACACTGAGATCCTGGCCAAAGAATTAATGATGATGTGAGTGTCTTTATTAGTAGCCACCTCATACGTAATGAGGCTCAAAACCATGGACACTTTTGCAGTCTTATGGGGACAGCACTGGAAGAATAATAGCTGGGTGCGGCGGTGCCTGCCTGTAATCCTAGCAGCTTGGGAGGCTGAGGCAGGAGGATTATGAGTTCAAAGCCAGCCTCAGCAACTTAGCAAGGCACTAAGCACTCAGTGAGACCCTGACTCTAAATAAAATATTAAAAAGGGGCTGGGTATATGGCTCAGTACGATTCTCTTACTTAGAGCAATGGTTCTTAAAGTGTGGTGATATGGCTGGGGATATGGCTCAGCACCCCTGGGTTCCATCCCTAGTACCAAAAAAAGAAAGAATAGTCACAGTCCTGGCATCACTCACATTTGAATTACTGTTGTTCTAACATACTCTCTCAGATGGTTTCCCCTTTGAGGCCTTTGTTCTGTAACTTCACTCCTGGTGCCTGTCACTTCACAGCCATCATGAGCATATTGTAAGTGAACTTGGAGATGGCTTCACTATCCCTGTATAAACCATCAGTTTGGAGTTTTATTTATTTATTTGTTTTTAAATATTTAATTTTTAGTTGTAGTTGTACACAGTACCTTTATTTTATTTATTTATTTTCATGTGGTGCTGAGTATCTAACCCAGGGCCTCACACATGCTAGGCAAGCAGTGTGTCGCTGAGCCACAACCCCAGCCCCTTGGAGTTTTATTTGTGTTTTTGATTTGTTTTGTAGGTGACATAGAGGTGAGTTTCAGCTTATTTATAGTCATATTTAAAAGAATTCAGACAACTAGGAAGCAAAAATTGTGCCTTTCTTTGTTTTACCTTCTAGAACTTGCCTTTTATGCTAAAGTCTAGATTTAATCAAAAGACTCAAGTTTCTCTGATTTTTTTAATCTACAATTTTGCTGATACAAAATTTTGCCCTAAGGAGCTGGAGATGTAGCTCAGTTGGTAGAGTGCTCACTTCACACGCACAAGGCCCTGGGTTCAATCCCCAGCACCACCAAAAAAAAAAAAAAAAAAAATAGCCTTTAGAGGAACACAGTGACATAGTATAATGGCATAAGAGAAGTTTTAAAAGGCAAAAATCAGAACAACTTCATGGGGGCACTGCCTCATCATGGTTCTTATTCAGTCCCCACCGGGCCTCCACCACATTAAAATTCCCACCTTAAGCCAAACTTCAGATTCCCCATATCTGAGCTTGTTTTCCTCCTGCAAGACACTACCAGGCCTCTTTTTTTAGGGGGAGGGGTAGAGCTGTTGTGCTGGTCCTTGAGCATGTTAAGCACATGCTCTACCACTGAACTACACCCCGCCACACACCAAACCTACCTGGATGACGTGATCTCCCTTACCATGATAAACAAAACCAACCCTCCCCCCCCCAAAAAAAATTGCCTGTAAATAGTAAAGTTCTCTGTAAACTCGAATATCCCTTGTAGGGGAGACAGAATTTCCACTTGCCCCTCTTAGGGTATTTTGTGTACCTGAGAATTAAGTTGACATAAGAAAGACCAATAGAGAAAATCATACAAACGTATGAATCTTACAGGACAGCAGAACCCTCATAAGGAAGTGAAGATCCAGAGACAGATGAATACTTACATTGTGAATCAGACAAAGAGTATTAAAATGAGACAAGTCCAGGGGCTGAAGCTCAATGTGAACTGGGTGGAGAAGTGACCAGCAAGTAAGGTGAGTTTAACAGTAGTGCACATTTTCCTGAAAGGGCCTCAACTTTCTGTCCTCCTCGATAGAAATGATACTTGCTCATTTAGTAAGGGATTTCATCTCCTGCTTTTAAAAGAAACAGTACAAAGCAGATGATCTTGCCCCTCTGCTTTTCAGGGGCCTTAAGTCAATGCAGCATTATGTCAGAATGCCATATTTGAGGGCAGCATAGTCTTAATCCCTTCACTCTGTACTTGATGCTCTTTGGTTGCTTTTTATTCTCCCCCGTCATCTCTTGTTGGTTTTCTAGTTTTTGTTCCCTACTCTAGTTAGAGGGAAATAAATACAGTTGTCCCTTTGAGGAAGGGCTTCTGAGTTCTCAGGCCTGTCCAATGAACCTTTAGCCCTAGTGGGTTTGACCTGTTGGCCCAGCACTTCTCTCGTGGTCTATAAGACCCAGCCAGCCCAGGACAGAGCAGCTGGTGCAGACAGCCACGGAGGGCAGTTCTGCTGAGATGAAAAAGAAGAACACCTAGCCTAGCCCCTGTGCTGGCTGAGGTTCCTTTTCCTTCTCCTCCACATCACTGCAGCGTATTGGGAATATCTGTGTGTTTGCATTGACACCCCCATGTTCCACCTTGGTGGAATAAGGAGGAATGGCTGACTCTGGGCAGCCCTCAGTAGCATCATCATCAAAAGATGAGACCAAGGGGCTGGGGATGTGGCTCAAGTGGTAGAGCGCTCGCCTAGCATGCGTGAGGCACTGGATTCGATTCTCAGCACCACGTTAAAAACAAAATAAAGATATTGTGGCCACCTAAAACTAAAAACATAAATATTTTAAAAAGATATGAGACCAAAAATGCACTAAGAGAAGGGTAGGGAGATTGTGGAGCTGAAGGATGTGGGACGAAGAAGAGATCCCAAGGAGAGAGGAACATGTAGTCAGCACCACGGTGAGAAGAACACGGAATAAAAGAGACGTTTCTAAGAACAGCTAGTGACTTGTGCTTTCGGAGAACGGTCTCTATATGAACAAATTCAAATATAACAGAACAACTGGGATTTCTTTGGGTTGTGTTATCAGATCACCTAAGACCTCACTGTTATTTCTCCGTATTCCTCAAGGCAAGAGTTACTAAGTACTCTCGCTTGAATCTAACACAGTACCTCCCTGGCCCATGGTAAAGATTTGCTGGATAGGTGGACAGCCAATAGAAGGGGGACAGAAATAGTATTCATAAGAATATAAAAGGGGCTGGGATATAGCTCAGTGATAGAGCACTTGCCTGATGTGGGAGGCCCTGGGTTTGATTCACAGCACTGGGAAGTTGGGGGATATATTACTCCAAAGAAGTGAAGGCAGAGATTTGAACAGATATTTGTACATCCACCTTCATAGCAGCATTATTCACAATAGCCAAAAGGTGAAAGCAATACAGGTGTCCACTGGCAGAAATGGATGCCCAAAATGTGGTTCATACATACAATGGAATATTATTCAGTATTAAAAAGGGAGGGAAATTTTGGCATAGCTACAACACAAACGAGCCTTGAAGACTCGTGTATCTACTGTAATAAACCAGTCAAACATTGGAAAAATACCATGTGACTCCTAGTAAATGAATTCCTAGGATGGTTCAATCCATGCAGGCAGAAAGTGGAATGGTGGCTGCCAAGAGCTAGAGAGGCATGAGCCAATGTTGGACAGGTACAGAAGTTCCCTGGAAAAGATGAAAATCTGTGGATGATTGGTGCTTATGGTTGTGGAACATTTGTGCTGAATACCACAGGGTCCTTAACACTTAAAAATGGTTAAAGTAATCACTGGGTACTCTCCATGCATGTATGGAAATATCACACTGAACCCCATTAACCCATACAATTAATATGCATTAATAAATATTTCTTTAAAAATGGCTAAAGCAGAGCCAGGCACACCTGAAAATCAGCTACTCAAGAAGCTGAGACAAAGATTTCAAGTTTGAGGTGAGCTTAAGCAACTATTGAAACCCTGTCTCAAAACAAGAAATAATAATAAAAGGTGGAGCTCAGTGGTAGAGCTCTTGCCTAATGTGTGAAGCCCTGGGTTCCATCCTGGCACCACAAAAAAAGGCAAAAGTTCAAATGATAAATTTGGTTATATGTTTTATCACCATAGTAGAAAAAAGAATACTTTTATGATCAACTAATTTATAAGTTTGGAACAATAAAAGTCATTTTTATAACCAAGAAGTGAAAATATAAATTAGAGAGCGAAGATGGCAATGACTCTAGACTTAGAACTGTGCCATCAAAAATGTGTTGCCTGAATCCTGGTACTGAGAGGGACCAGTTTTAATCTTGTCCACTCCTCATTATCCCCATAATTCTCTCTTAAAAATCAAAAACAAGGGCTGGGGTTGTGGCTCAGCGGTAGAGCGCTCACCTAGCACGTGAGATGGTTGGCCCTGGGTTCGATCCTCAACACCACAAAAAAAATGAATAAAATAAAGGTATTATGTCCAACTACAACCAAAAAATAAATATTAAAAAAAAAAACTTTCTACTTTGAAAAAGTTCAGGCCTACAGACAAGTTGAGTGTCCATTTGATTTCCTCCTCCTCCACCACAAGAAGTACGAAAGTTTTTGATGTGGCTTCAGCCCCAGTCTGCCTGGAACTCCATGGCTATGGCCTCTCGGAGATGGTTTCTGGGTACAGGAGTGGGCGAGGCACGTTGAGCATGAAGCCTGTGCTGGTTTGTGGAACAGCGCCTGGTCCATGATACCCAGCCGGTTCCAATGCCTTTGATCCTGACCATCACACAGCTCTGTGCTAGTCTGGTTTTTCTGCCAGAACGTACCCAGCTCATTAGCTTGTTTAGTCATCCCAGTAACTACGTGAGTTGGTGCCCTGGTTGCTGTCACAGAGACTAACTAGATCCATGGCATCTTGTTAATGGCAGGCTTATTAAAGTATGCAAAGGCTGAGCGGGAGGGTAAGACAGAGGCAGGTGAGTGTGTGGTAGTGAGAAGAGGCATGGGGTCAGGAAGAAGGGGTGCAAGGGAACATTCAGGAAATGGCTCAGAACTACTCCAGATATCTTGGATATCTATATTATACTGACAACTTGGGAGGAAAAAAAAAAAACTAGTCCTAAAGTCTCTGTTACATAAGAAGCTCTCTAGAAGACACCCCACCTGCAAGGTGACCTTTGGAGATGATGTGACCTGGGACCAGAAAACTTTACACAGAGGAGGTTTGCCATACCCTGAAGGGGCTTAACTGAGCGTGGTGAGCAGACTGCAGTCCTTGCCAGCATCAGAGTTAATTTGGTAAATCTTGCAGACTGCCTTCCTTCAGATGTTTACCTAAAGCTTCCATCTGCCTCCAAATATAAATGGATGAGAAGTTCAGCATATTTGAGGCATATTTTTGCATTTGGCTATATACAGGATTATACTGTTGTACAAGTAGATACTTTAATCTGGTTTAAATTTAATTTTTCTCTTGGGTGTGTGAATGTGGTTAAGCATTACCCTTTCCCTGGGGCCATCTTTCAAAGTGCAAGTTGCCTAAACATAGAAGTGTTCATTTTTTTCATGTAGCAAGAATTCAGAGTGGGTGTTTGCTGCTGCCTATTCAGTGGCTTGAGGATTTGGGGACCAAGAGTCTTTTGGTCTGAACCTCCTGGTTCCAAGATGGCTGCTACAAGTCTCACCATCATGTTAGAGTTCCACCAGAAAAATGAAAGAGGGGGAGGAGAGGACAAAAATAGCATGCTTCCCACCTGAAAATCAAGCTCCTTTTAATAAAAACTATCTCAGATATTCCACATGATTTAGCTCTTCTACAGTGGAAGTTGAGGAAGAAACCTTTCACAGAGACATGCTTCTGCCACCAACAATGCAGTTCTCTTTGTAAAGAGAAAGGGGAGGACAGATGTTGGAAGGTCACTGGTGGTCCACCAGAGTCATACCTGCAGGTCTGTTTCTGAACTCTATTTCACTAGTCTGTTCTGGCAACTGGCCCGCACTGTTTTAAAGGCACCATCCATTAGAAAATCTGAGGTCTGGTGTTCCTTCTGCTTTCTGTGTAGCTGGTATGTACGCTGGCTGCTTAGTAAGCTAAGCAGTCACTGTGCTTGTTTATTCTAATCCCCTGCCTATTGAGACCCCGTTGTCAAGATGGGAACCACTGCTGGAATGCATCCTTGGAGGAGGTGCCAGATGCAGAGAGAGCTTCCTGCAGGCATTTCTAGATTGGACTTTTGGTAAGACAAAAATCACAGCTTTTGAAGTTCCTATTTTAGCAGAGTATTCCCAAGCAACTGCAGATTTTTACTTCTTCAACCCCTTTCAGTTAATTTTGAATTCCTGGGTCTTAATTTTATTGTGTTTGTATGCACACAAGGTTCTGAGGGCAGTATACACGTTTTAGACCAAGAAGCACAGACCTTTGGCTGAATGAGGAAGCCAAACCCAGAGTCACTGATCTTGAGGCTTTTTGTTAAGTGTGGAAGCATATTGAAGTCTCCAGCTGCATAGTGAAGTCTCCGCCATATTGGCAGAACCCAAACACAAACAAGCTGATGGGAAATGGAGTGTGTCTAATCCATTCACCAGCAGCTTGGCCTGGCCTCAAGCCATTCCTGACCTTGATACTGTTGATTCATGCTTATTCCTCTGCTGCCTCTGAATGTAGTTATTTGAGGACATGAGATATATTACTCTAAAGGCACAGGTAGAAACCAGGTACCCGTGCCTTTTCAGCCGACTACAGAGCCTTTGAGGAATTAATTTTGACCAGGACAAAATACAGAGGTTAGCCATATAAATGCTTTCAGAGAGGGGGGAAAAATCATGCTCATAGACTCTGGGTAGGGAAAGTTACTTTATTTCTAATACAATAAACATACATTTTAAAAAACAGATGTATTTTTCAATTCAGTTTTTCTCCTTTATTGGAAAAGAAGCCAGAATATTCTCAACCCACAATTTAAATTTAGAACACAAAACATAACATGTATTTTGGTTTTATGTTGTGCCCAAACTGACTGAAATGAGAAGGGTAGAGAAGGAAACCCTAGAAGGAATGAAACCTCTGTTTCATAAAGCTTGAGAAGCAAAGATCTAATCAATAAAGTCTCTCTTTTTTGATAACCCTTTATGCCTAAAAATGGGTAAACGTTGAATGTAAGCTCTCTTCATCAAGCTAAAATCTGAAAGCATAGGTATTTTTGAAATCTACCCTTCTTATTTAAAAAAAAAAATCTCTATAGAGAAAAATTCAATGTTTTGCTTCACAATGAAGGTCACAAATTATTACAAAGTAAAAAACGTTTCATTGGTTTCATTATCTCATTTTAGACTTCCGGCTAAAAGCCCTGACAGATAGTACGTTTTGTGTCTTGGAATTGCTGCCAAATCCTTACTACTGCTTTGCTGGTTACAGGGTTCTTAGCTGACCATGTGGCTTTGCCAGCTAAGATACACTAGAAGCTTTTGATGTTTGCCCTGTGGACAGATGCGATAGAGCCCAGAATCAAGTCTGTTCTCTTCTAACCGGTGTGACTGTAAAAAGGCAATTGAACTTGGCACTTTCTTGCTAGGCTTTCGCAGCCTAGATTTCTTACAACCATGAGGGACCAGCAGCTGGTCAACATGTCCTGATGTGGGTTGCTCATATCCCATGTAAACCTACACCCCGTGACTCTCCTCCAACCCGAGAGGCTCCAGTGAAGTTACAAGCAGGAAGCATTCTGATCTAAAGAGGCAGGTAACAGTGACTTTCAGAACCACTATTCTCATGGAAGCCTCTGTTTCACAGTCTTGCAGATGAAGTAGTCCTTTATCCAAGGAAGGTCATGACCATGGTCTTGGTTCTTGCAAACCAAAGCAACCTGCCTAAACAGAAAGCTATCAATTGTAACATGTTGTACAGGGACTTCAGACAGAGGCCCCTTGGATGAGAGCCAGCCTAGTTCACCAAGCTGGGAAAGTTTTACAGGACCTCTGATTTTTGGCAATGGAAGACTGCAAAAGCCCTGATGGGGAGTATGTTTTATATGTTTGCATTGTTGCAAAATCCTTTTTCTGCTTTGCTGGTTATAGGGTCATTAAGATGACGTCAAACAGGGATCTACAATGAGCCATTACAGTTTTGCCACATCTGTAGAATTCCCCCCCAAAAGATGTTGAACTTGGGGAGAAGCTCATAGCTTCTGCAATGCAGTGTTACAAACGCTGTTTAAGCTCTGCATAGAATGAGTTGTCATTTAAAATTCTTTGGTTATAAGTCTTCCAAAAAATATCGAACATACTGGGAGAAAAAAAACACAACTCAATGGTTAACTAGGAAACTATCTTCATGACTCTCAAAATCCAAGACAGGTGTATCTACATCATTCTGAAAATCCCATGAACAATTTTGAAACTTCAGTAAAAACCTTTGACAAAAAGGAATGTTGTCAAATAGTGAAAAACAATAATTAGAAGGTCAGCATGGAGGAATAGTAAATGCTTTCGAGAAATAAAATGAACAACATGTTGACTCCTTTTTGGTTTTCCCGAGAAAACTTTCCTCACAGAGGTTTTCATGTGGACCAAAATTGTCTTTTTTTCCTAAGTTCTTCACATGCACTCTATCATAGGACCTCTGTAATAGCACTATTAGATTGAAAAGCCATTTTCCCATTTCACACGTGGGAATTAAAGACTTGCCCAAGATTAATGGTTTGCTGGGGTCGCTTGAGGAGTTTGGGATGGCAGAGCCCGGATGGAATTCAGGTCTTCATTTGTTCCAGTGAGGAACTAACCCTGGGCCAGAATAGATACTGAGGTTGGAGTAATGAGCAAGGCCTTCAAGGAACTTACGTGCCTGCATGGCAATGGATAATAAAGAAGTAAAAGTATGTCAAGTGCTTAGAGGAAAACCAGGAGTATGATAGACAGGAGAGTGATTTGGGTAGAGTGATCATCAGAGAGGACCTAAGGAAGACATTTCTCCTGAAACTTGAAGGTCCAGGCAGGACAGGGTCCAGGGGGAACTGGTCTAGATTGGGGAACAGCAAGTGCAAAGATCCTGAGGCAAGGAAGAGGCTGATGTCCCAGGAACTCTTATAAGACTGGTGTAAGAAAGAAAAAGTAGAATAAGATCAACTGGGGAGAAAGGCAAGCATGGGAGCTACTGGGCTTTATGGTCATGGAAGAGATTTCCAATTTTATTCTACATGAAGTGAAATCTCAGTGAAGTGTTGTATGCATAGGAAGTGAGTCTAGGGAGAGGGGTTGTTCTAACCTATGAATTTTAAAAATCATTTTGGCTACAGTACAGAAAATGGAAAATGAGGGAGGCCAGATGGGAGATTGTTTTATACCCAGGCAAGGATTGATGCTGGTTTGGATTAGGGTGGTTCCCACAGAGTAAAAAGAAGTGAGCAGATCTGAAGTACATTTTGGATATAGAACCAAGAAGGTTCTACTGCTGCCAAGGCATTGAAGAGGTGGTCTCAAGCTGCATTTAATAGTGAAGGCTCTGAAGTTGGACCACAGTTGAAAATCTTGACCCCTAGCTGTATGACCTAAGGTAAGTTATGTATCTCTGTGACTCTGTTTCTCAATCTGAAAAAAATGAGGGAAACGATAGTATCTACCTAAGGAAAAGAATAAGTCAGTGTGAATAATACTAACACTCAGCATAGACCATTGAGAAAGGACAGGTATGTGTCCCGACACCAGCAATGCAAAGACTTCTGTTGGCTTTGGTCAGAGTGATCTTGTTGGAGGGGAGCAGGCTGGACCAAATGCCACCAGAAGGGGCCTGGATAGGAGGGGTTAGGGATCCTTCCTTCTTCTGCTTGGTGGAGAGCAGTTAGACATACTGCTATGCTCTAAAATTCATATGTTGAAACTTAACTGCCGTGTGATGATATTAAGAAGCGGGGCCTTTAGGAGATGATTAAGCATGAAGGGTGGAGCTAGTATGAATGGAATTAGTAACCTTATAGAAGAGGTATGAAGGAGCAGTTCACCCTGTTATCATATTGCCCTTCTGCCTTCCACCATGTAAAAGCCTAGCAACAACATGCCATCTGGAAGGCAGAGAGTGAGCCTTCATCAGACACGGATCTGAAACTTGATCTTGGACTTCTCAGCCTCCTGCACTGTGAGAAATAAATTACTATTGTTTATAAATTACCCAATCTAAGGTATTTTGTTCTAATAGTAAGAGTAGACTAAGACACACATGTAAAGGGGACACATGTTCCCAGCATCCCAGGAATGAAATGGGGTTAAATGATGGGTAGGCACTTTTGAAGGGGGAAATTACCTTAAAACTCCTTTTTTTAGTTTTAAGATTTTTACTTCTAGACTTCTCCAGGTATTGTGGGTTTGTTAATTAAGCGTTGGTGGTGAAGACTTAGAAAAGAGAATTCCATTATTTAATTGTTTTTTTCCCCCATTGAAAAGTATGTTGCCTCTTTTAGACATTGCGTACTCTCTAATAATTCACAGACCCAGTTTAGGGTAGGGCTCATTCACAGTAGAGTGTGAAATAAAAGGAACAGGGCAGTGCCTGTATAGGAAGACTGTCATTGGAAAGCAAACCAAAAGGGGAAAGGGGTGTTTTTATTACAAGCAGCCTGGAAATACGTACTCTCCATAGTGTCGGTGCCAGGCAACGGGTCACTGCTGAGCTTTATTCTACAGACTTTTCTGACTTCTTGATTTTTTTTAATGGAAGTGTTTACTTTTATAAATAGAAAATAGCAAACCTTTTTCTCTTGTAGAAATTGCAGCCTTATTATTTGAGGGTTGCTTGGCTCCATTCATATTGTGGTTTTTTTAATATTTATTTTTTAGTTATAGGTGTACACAATAGCTTTATTGTATTTTTATGTGGTACTGAGGATTGAGTCCAGTGCCTCTGCATGCTAGGCGAGTGAGCGCTTTACCTATGAGCCATAACCCCAGCCTCACCACCCCCCATTGTATTATTGACCTGGTCACACCACTCTTGTGTTTGGGGTAGTTGCTGTTTACCTACTATTGGTGTGATAATTATTTGCCTTTGAAATCTTCCCTCCAGAACAATATGTGTGTAAGGTCATGGAGAAACTTGTCTGTCTACTTCTTTGCACAACTCTTGGGATGCTGTGGGGGTGTTGAGGAAGTGCATCTGGACAGTCATCCTTCCACCTACCAGTCTTGGTCCAAAACATCTTCAGGTTTGGCAATGAGCAAGTCATCAAGGGCAGAATCAGTGACCTCGCTGAAATCAAGTAACTGCAGTAGAAGGATCTTCGCTTGTTCATCCAGATCAGGGTTATGGGTACTTTGGGTTTTTGGTTTTAGTGCACCTGTCTTTATATCACTGTCCTTAAGTGATCATTCTTCTTTGTAAGACTTTAGAAAGAAACAAAATTCTGACATTCCTAAGTCAATAAGCTCTTCATACCCTGTTTTTTAAAAGTGACATATAATAAAACAAAGTTGAAGAAGATGAAGGTGGTCCAATAGGGAATATTCTCCTGGAGAGAAATTTCTCCCAGAACATTTCCTAAAACAATTAGTAATACTCAGACAGCCCAAATTGTGTCACAGATTACTTCAAGAAGAAATAACTCAGTAACTCCCTTGTGACAGGAGATGAGACGAGTGTCACTGGTGGCAGAATCCCTCAGGATGAACTTGCTTGCTTTTCCTGTAACTGATCCCGAAGGCTAAGGATTGACTGATCTCTTCCTTAGCTCTGTGTCCCCGGCCTCTGACTGCAGGAGCAGATGTGACTCAGGCTTTCCTCTTATCCTCTTTGTCAGTCATTTCTTAAACTAGGTGGAAGGTCTCAGGACCTCCAACATGGTGTGAAGTTCATTTCTGCTTATGCTTTAGCACGGTTTGATAAGACAAACTTAGACAAGGGCTAAACTGTCGTGGGAAATATGGAGGATTTTTTTTCTTTATATTCTAAGAGAAAGTGCTGCATGGAAGGGTAAGAGTGCATCTCTGGAACAAGACTCTCTGTGTTGGGTTTTCAACTAAAGCACCTTCCACATCTGTCACCTTAGGCAGTTTTTAATTGCTTCATGTGCCCCAGTTTCCTTTCTCCAAACAGAGGGAATTTGGCAGTACCTGCCTCACTTCAGCAGATCTGTTGAAGGGATTGAGTTATTACATAGAAAGTATTTAGACGGTGTCCCAAGTAAGCACTGTTTATTGGGTGATTCTGCATCAGTAATGATATTAAGTTAGTATGGAAGCTGGGATGGAGGTAGTCAGCCACTACTCCTAAAATACTGAATTTATGTTGAGACTTTTGGGGAAAATAGGAGGTAGACTGACAGATAGCAACAGGGCTGGGGCTAGGGCTGGGCTCAGTAGGAGAGCTCTTGCCTTACACACATGAGGCTCTGGGTTCCAACCCCAGCAGAGCAAAGAAAAAAGTGTGAGGGTACCGCTGAGCACAATGGCACATGCCTGTAATCCCAGTGGCTCAGGAGGCTGAGACAGGAGGATCACAAGTTCAAAGCCAGCCTCAGCAACAGCAAGGTGCTAAACAACTCGGTGAGACCCCGTTTCTAAATAAAATACAAAATTGGGCTGGGGATGTGGCTTAGTGGTTGAGTGCCCCCTGAGTTCAATCCCTAGTTTGGGAAAAAAAGAAGTGTGAGGGTTGGGGGTATGATAAGCCACAGGTCTGGACAGGATTTGTGAGGAAGTGTTTGCCATCAATGAGTAGGAGCAGCAGGGCAGTCTGGAGAGTGAGCTGGTGGGAGGACAAGGACGCATTTACCAGGCAGTCATGGTCTGGAGCTGTGCTGGAGCGCTTTGCCGGCATTCCCTCCTTTAACTGTCACAGTTGTTTTACCTGTGGGCACAGATGTGCAGAGGCTGAGGGCATCTGTCTGAGGTCCAGGTGCTAGGTAGGCCGTCCCTGAGCTTAATTGCACCGCTTCCGAGGGCAAGCTAAGCCCTTACCCCTTGGCCAGGACGTGTCATGGTGGGACGGTGTGGGCCTCCTCTTTTGCTCGGCACCTGAGCAGGGTCTCATCTCTGAGCAGCTTTGTCCTTCCTTTATCACCTCTTAATTTGATCCGAAGAGTGAAAGGCAGTCATTTTTTTAACATTGCATAAAATTGTCTCGTGAATTCTTTTCTTTAAAACATAAGTTCAGCAGGTCCTGTGTACTGTATTGGAAAAGCCCCAAGACTGGAGACAGGCAAGCCGGGCTTGGGGGAAGGGAAGGGCCTCTTGGGAGCACTGAGCCTCAGTCCTCTGGTGGCTGGGAATTAGTCTAATTCTCACTGTGGGACGCAAAATGCGCCCTCAGAGAGGTTAACTAGTTCAAATCAAAGATTTAACTACCAAGTGCCCTTCCAGGCACTCAAGCCCAGGTCTGTGGCATCCTGAAGCCCACCTACCTTCTTCTCTCTCTCCCCAGGGTCCTGACCTGCCTGAGTCACTGTGTGCAATTCTTGGTTCCTAAACGGAGTCACGCTCAGAACTTCTCTCCTCAGTCTCCTTCCACCATTCTTGATTTTATCATTCCTTCTCTCTTGGAGAGGAAGCCTCCTACTCCTTTACAGCCTGGGCTTTAAAGTGGCCAGCTTAAGAGTTTTTTGGAAAGCTGCAGATGACTACAGCCATTTGGCCCCGGATGCGGTGACTCACACTTAGTGCACTTAACTGCGGTGGATCTGTTTTCCTGCTGCTTCCTTAGAGGCTCCAATAGTGCCTGGGAGAGCTGGGGAGAAGCTGGTTTGAGGAAATGCTTCATGTAACATTCCTGTCGGGAACTTAGTGAGGAGTATGTTTTATTGAATTGTTGTGGAACATCTTCCATTTGAGCTGTAGCCATTAAACCTTGCCAAGAAACCTTATTTCACTGTCACTAGGAACTTGTACCTATGTGGTGAGAGACTCCGCAGGTCACTCTTTCTTGTCTGCCTGGAGAGGTGGGAGGGGAAATATCCCTTCTCCATGGGAAGTTATTTGCAATGTAATTCTAAGAGTATTCCTTTCCAACAAAATACTTGCCTGCTCCCTGTCCTTAGGAGGAAAAGAGCCAGTCCCAAGGTGTTTGCAGAAGGTGGCACTGCTAGCCTGGTCTCCTAGGAAACAGGTGGCCAGCTTGAGGTCAGCCTTGGCCCCACCCACCCTGGTCAGACCTGGGTCAGGCGTCAGGAGCTCCTACCATTCTACTCTGGAGGCCCCTGGAGTTCCTGTGACAGGTGGCCAGAAAGGGGGTGGGGCTGCTGATGGGCAGGTATCAGTGGTACCCACCTTCACCCTAGCAACTGGAGACCCCGAGGCCATGCTGCTTCCTGCTCTTTCCTGAAGAGCTCACTGGGAGGGACTGAGGGTGTTATGCAGAAGGCCCTGGGGGTGGGAGAGCCAAGCTGAGGTTGGGGACCTTTGTTTTTTCTCTTACCTCCTGCTATGGGGGTCCTCTTGATTGGTTAGTTAGTACCTCTCCTACCCGTGATGATTTCTTGCCCACCTGGGAAGAGGCCAAGTACCACTTCAAGATTTGACAGAAACTCTTTCATACTAAAGGGCATTGTACCTCCATGTTTTTACTTCTTACTTGGGGAAGGAATGCTTTTATCTTAAAGGACTTTCTAGCCATGGTAAGCAGACAAAGTGGTTTTATTTTGTTTGACTCAGGACAGGATAGCATTGGAGGACAGCTCATTTAAAGAATTTCAAAGTCTGACCCAAAGGCTGACAAGATTTTCCCTTAGCGAGGCCTTTGTGAAAGTAGTTCAGAAAGCCAGGAGCCTGGGCTGTCCCTGTACTCTCCCCCTCTTGGAAATTCACTGTAGTCCCCTGCCTGGGAAAGCTCAGAGTTGACAGAGCCGATTGTGACAGGATCCTGATAGCACCTCCCAACCCCTTTCCAGAGTTCCCTGCCACCTTCCCTCTCCCGGGCAGGCAGTCCTGTCCTGAGATGCCCTCTTTATTTTGGGAGGTCTAATCAGGATCTGAAAGTTGAACTAAGATAAATGTTCCTTTTGGCCTCAGGTGAATTATTTGCAACTCTGAGGACCTCTTCATACATCCAGTTTTCTAGACCCCTGTCCAAAGAAGAGCAATCCCTCCACAAATATGCTAAGCAGAAATGCAGAATATATAAAGCACATAGTGCAGTTGGCTCTCCACATTTGTGGTTCCCTCATATTCAACCAAAGCTGAGTCAAAAATATTTGGAAAAGAAAACTCTAGAAAGTTTTATAAAGCAAAACTTGAATTTGTGGTCCACCCAGTGCTGTGGCTGATTCACATGAAAGGAGTGATGCATAGGGATTGTGAGAGGTGTTATAAGCAATCTAAAGATAATTTTAAAAACTAAGGGGAAAAAGTATACAGGAGATTATGGATCTGTTATATGCAAATGTGGTGCCTTTTCCTACCAGAGACTTGAGCACTTGAGGATTTTGATAGCCATAAGGTCCTGAAACCAATCCCCCAGAAGGCTAAGGAGTTTATCTTCCAATCTCTTTGGTAACCAACATCTCTCAAATTAGGTATAGTTCACACAGAATTTCAGAAAAATACCACCACTGTACACATTTCCATTTCCTGATTTCTGTATTCTTTTAAGGGCAAAAATCTTGTTTTATTATCTTTGGGTCCAGCATTCTGCCAGGCATGTGGTAGCTACCTGTTTTAGTCAGCTTTTTCGCTGCTGTGACTGAAAGACCTGGCCAGAACAATTGTAGAGGAGGAAAGTTTTATTTAGGGGCTCATGGTTTCAGAGGTCTCAGTCCACAGATAGCAGGCTCCATTCCTAGGAGCTTGAAGTGAGGCAGAACATCATGGTGGAAGAGTGTGGTGGAAGGAAGATGCTCACATGATAATCAGGAAGCAGAGAGGAGTGACTCCACTTGCCAGACACAAATATATATCCCAGAGGCACGCCCCCATGATACATATCCTCCAGCCACATCCTACCTGTCTTCAGTTATCACCCAGTTAACTCCTTCAGGGGGTTAATCCACTGATTGGGTTAAGGCTCTCATAATCCAATCATTTCTCTCTGAAACTTCTTGCATTGTCTCACACAGGAGCTTTTGGGGGACACCTCACATCCTAATCATAACAGCACCCAATAAATCTTGGATAAATTGAATTCTCTTAATTCTTAATATTAATTAATATCTATTATTCCTTTTTCCTCTTACAGAATGAAGATATTCAAATGTTGTTTTAAATACACCGTACAGCAGAAAGTTTTCATCCTGTTTTTAACCCTATGGCTGTTCTCCTTATTAAAGCTTCTAAATGTGAGAAGACTCCTCTTCCCTCAAAGAGGCATTTACTTAGTTGAGTACTCCTTAAGTACTTCACCTTTTGTAAGGAACAGATACACCCATGTTAAGGATGAAATTAGGTATGAAGTCAACTGTTCAGGTATCTACGAACAGGAGCCTTTGGAAATTGGCAAGAGTCTGGAAATAAGAAGGCAAGACATCATCGACTTGGAGGATGATGATGTTGTGGCATTGACCAGCGACTGTGACATCTATCAGACTCTGAGAAGGTACCATCAGAAGCTAGTTTCAAAGGAGGAGAAGGGCTTCCCAATAGCTTATTCTTTGGTTGTCCACAAAGATGCAATTATGGTTGAAAGGCTTATCCATGCTATATACAATCAGCACAATATTTACTGCATCCATTATGACCTTAAGTCAACTAACACCTTCAAAGTAGCCATGAACAATTTAGCTAAGTGCTTCTCCAATATTTTCATCGCTTCCAAATTAGAGGCTGTGGAATATGCCCACATTTCCAGACTCCAAGCTGACTTAAACTGCTTATCAGACCTTCTCAAGTCTTCAGTTCAATGGAAATATGTCATCAACTTGTGTGGGCAAGATTTTCCCCTGAAGTCAAATTTTGAATTAGTGTCAGAGTTGAAGAAACTCAATGGAGCCAATATGTTAGAGACGGTGAAACCCCCTAACAGTAAAATGGGAAGATTCATGTATCACCATGAGCTCCGACAGGTGCCTTATGAATATGTGAAGCTACCAATAAGGACGAACATCTCCAAGGAAGCACCCCCTCATAACATTGAGATATTTGTTGGCAGTGCCTATTTTGTTTTAAGTCAAGCATTTGTTAAATATATTTTCAACAACTCCCTCATTAAAGACTTTTTTGCCTGGTCTAAAGATACCTATTCTCCTGATGAGCACTTTTGGGCTACCTTAATTCGGGTACCAGGGATACCTGGGGAGATTTCCAGATCAGCCCAGGATGTGTCTGACCTACAGAGCAAGACCCGCCTTGTGAAGTGGAATTATTATGAAGGGTTTTTCTATCCCAGTTGTACTGGCTCCCACCTTCGCAGTGTGTGTATTTATGGAGCTGCAGAATTAAGGTGGCTTATCAAAGATGGACATTGGTTTGCTAATAAGTTTGATTCTAAGGTAGACCCTGTCTTGATTAAATGCTTGGCAGAAAAGCTTGAAGAACAACAGAGGGAATGGATGACTTTGTCTTCGGAAAAGTTATTTATGGATAAAAAGCCCACGATCATATCATCACAGTAAAACCAAGATGGAAATAAGAGGAGTTATTGGAGTTAATATGGAGTTATATACCATGCCAAGCCCAACGACATTAGAACTTAATCTTATCAGAGTTTGAAAGTCACCTAAAGTTCTATGCACTATAAGGAAAGCCACCTAGACTTTGATCACACGAGTTGAAGTTGATTTTTTTTTAATGTCTGTTTTTGCTTGTAATCTCACTGAGCTAAATCAGAGAGCTTAAGCTTTCAGTCAGTCATCAAATATTTACTGAGCACCTAACTCTGCATCAGGTACATTTTTTGGAAAACATTAAGGAATTAAATCCAAGTTGTAATGAGTTGCACAATGCCCTCAGGAAGCAATGGCCTACCCTCATCTCACGGCAACCTCAGTATCTTCCTGTTCTCCACATAACAAGGATTCCACTGAAGAAGCTGCTGGAGTATGTGACAATCACATAAACCACTCATTTCAGGAGAGTGTATAAGCACAGTGACCAGCATCTGTTTGTCTCTTAGTTCAGATCCCTAAATGTTTCTTAACCATTCGAATATTAGGAGGAGAGATTCCACTACCTCAGAGACACTCAAAGAATCGTCTGATTGCTTGCTTGCCAAAGCATAATTTACCTTTTGGTGCCTCATGCGTTTAATTCAGGGCTGAGAGGACTCTGTTGGTGTGACATTTATGGAGTATGAATGCCAGGGAAGAGGGTGGGTGGGAGGTAGGGGAACTGGGTCAGGTGGTGCCTGAAGAGGAACAGAAAAAAAGGATTATTCAACCTTTGTATCATGTTACTCAATGGCGTCATGAATGACTTCCTTTGCAGTTCAACTGTTTCTCCAAACACATTTGCTGATGAAAAAATAAGAATTGATTCAAAGTGTCACACACCAGGACCTTAAACCTACATCTTCCACTTCCTAGGTTATCATGATAGGTAAGCTCCTTGACAATGGAATGTAATGCTTCCAATGGAATTTGTACAATTTTGTTTAATGGAACTATCAAGTCACTACATTTTTCTTGAAAACTTCAACATGGAATATGATAGTTTTCTAAATTAACTATTATGGTCATTTAAATTTTTTTTTCTTCAACTGTTAAAGTGGAATGATAATGAAATTTAAAAATGATAAAAGCTCTAAGTTCATTTCAGTTTTCCTCTGAACTTAGATCCAAAGCAAAAAAAAAAAAAAAAAAAGCTAATTTTCCTAAGGACAGGAATATTCATTAATGCTGTTTTGTGAAGCACACATCTGACAGAACTACTGTATAGATATAGTAATTGTAAGTGCTGGAACAGGGTCCTGAGATCAGGCTGTAACGTTTTCACCTGTCTCTTGGAAAACTGTGAACCCATGTAAAAAAATTTTTTTTAATTTTTATGTTTTGATGTCAGCCTCTCTAACAAAGATGTGTTGTTAGTTGAATCCAAAATAAGACTGTTTAGGAAGATGAAGTGTTAAATTTTTTTAGATTTCCAAATTCTACATGTAAAATGCACTTAAAAAGTTCATAACACTAACTGCCAAGTGGCATCATTTGTCTCTCCCTTTCTATTTTTTCTTTAATGCATTTTTCTACTGTGTGTTTATGTGTGTGAGACTTTCAGATTGCTTTATTCTTCAGAAAACAACCATTACCAAGCCCCTACTCTTAAAAATCTCTTGCCGATTTAGAGAGCTAAATTCTGCAGAGGACCTGCACCAGTCAGTTAGTGGGCGAGACCCTGGACAAGAGGAGTCACTTTGATCTCCCTGAGCCTCAGTCCTCCTGGTGTTTGCATTGAGCACTTGGACATTTCTCTGGGCTTCCTCACAAGGCCTTTGTGAGAATCAACCGAAATAGTATCTGCAGTGGTTTGAAAATGGGGACGAATTTTGAAGTATCAGAGAGTGCTAATAGTGTAAAGCAAACCATAGGTCCAACCTCATTGGGAGATCTGAACATTTACCTTTTCTGAAAAACTCTTTGAAATATAAAAAAAAGAGGCCATCATTGCAGGGACAGCTTCTGTCATCAAATCCAGAGCTGTGAAAACTTTGTCACCATGTTTGAGAGTTCTGGTGAAGACAATAGGATTAGCAAATTAGTCCAGTGGCGTAGATTGGACGGAGAGGTAGAAATATTTTTCCTACCACCCAGGATTAAATATATGAGGTCCTGTTGAGATCTTGGTTTTTATGCCTGTGATCATCAAAATAGGTACAAATGCTGACAAATCAATGTCAACCTCCTAGGCCATTGTCCTGCCCTATTCCCTGTTTATTGGGAAATGTCCCAAGTGGCTCATCACTCTAAGGCTGTATTTTAAAGGACCGTGGAAAGATGAGGAGGCAGTGCCTTCTTTTCCCTTTGACACATTTCTCTGGACTTGGTTCCTAACGTTTCAGGGAGCTTGTGGCCTCACACTCTTGCCTTGGGGATCCTGCAGATTCCTTGTATGCCTTCCAACCTGATTCTTCCCTAAAACCTCTGGGTATGCTTCTCTTCCTGGTCTGGGAATGTTCTGCAGCCTGCATTTTATAATTATTCTTTGTAAAGTATTTATTGACTCTAGACTCTTAAGTTACTTAGAGATGAGACTAAGAACTTGGAGTCGTAAATTATAGGTGGGTATTAGATAATATTAATAATGAAAAAGCTACCGAAATATATCTATATTATGTGAATAATCTACTGTAATATGTGTACTTCAAAACCAGTGTTGCTGCTATTTTAAATGTTTTACTTATTTTAAATGAAAAAAAAAATATATATATATATACATATTTAAATTTTGAAGATTTCTCTTGCCTTCCAGAATGTAAAGATATACTTACCTACCCATGTTTTGACATAGTTCATGGGGAATAAAAATGACAATCTGTTTAGGGAATATAAAGTGATTGTATCCTTATGTATGTTAAAACTGCTTTTTTGTGTGTGTATGATGAAATAACAGTTTTGATTTTCAAAGTTTTTTTTTTTTTTATAAATTGGTCTCTGAATTTCCTTTGTTGTTGTTGTTTGTCATTTTAGAAATAAATTTCCCATTGTATAAGTTTTAAATTGATTGGTGTTTCATTTTTGTATTATTCTGGAGTGGGTATTAATTTTCTGGTATTGTCAAAATGCCTGGAATTTATGTGCTTTCCCTTCACTGGTTATACTGGTTCCCCACAAATTCTTTCAGTTTATGGCACTTACCCAATATTTGAAGAGTTAGAGTTCGTGGGTACAGCGTAAAAGAAATTCAGCATGTGTATCACACACAGAATATAGGTACAGGAGCTTAAGTTGTTTAATTTGGCAAACTCTCCAAGAATCTTCCAAGGTTAACCTGTCTTCATTCTTCTGCAGATTGACTTCTCCTCTAAGATTAACCATGTAGGTAGATATTCTTGTTTGTTCTATTACTTTACAGAAGTTAATTCTCAGTAGAATAATTGAATATTATTTCTGCACCTTTAATCCCTGGCAAATCAAGACTTTCTGTCTTGGAAGGATTCCTGCCTTGATTATAATAAGCACATAGATATTTATGGGAATATATATTGTATATATTCGTAGACAACATGGATACACCTATGTCAGTGTCCTCAGTGTCCCCAGTGTCCCCAGCTTGGCTGATGGGGAAATATCCTTCCAAAAGCCATAATAGTCACCCACCTACCTGGGACACATATGCAAGGAGTGTGGGTGCCATACTCACAAATCAGTCCATCTCAAGGTTAAGACTATTTTAGGAGTCTTCAACATAATAAAAGTTAACATTTACTCAGCCTAAAATTAATTCTAGCTCTTGCCAAGTTGAACAATCATGCAAATTCACAGGAATTTCAGGAAGCATTTGACCTTCTTTCGGTGGTTGTGATGGAGGTGGGGTGGGTACACAGCAACACATTAAAGACCAACAGATTTAATTCCTACCTAGGAAATTCTGTAATTTTTGTTCTCTTTGCTGTCTGAAAATCTACATCTAACTTAGGACAACTGGCTTATAGTTTCATTACACTGATTATGAGGAATCCCTGGCAAGAGAAAATGAAAAGAGGATTGTAAATTTGTTCCTACTACTGGAAAGATATTCCTATGTTAATAAATAACAGCTTGCCTGGCACAGTGGCTTGCTTACACCTGTAATCCCAGTTGCTCCAGAGACGGAGGAAGGAGGATCACAAATTCAAAGCCAGCCTTAGCAACAGTGAGGTACTAATCAACTCAGTGAGGCCCTGTCTCTAAATAAAATATAAAATAGGGCTGGAAATGTGACTCAGTGTTCAAGTGCCCCTGAGTTCAATCCCCAGTACCAAAAATAAAAAAAATAACAGCTTAAGTGTTCCTTCAGAGACATGATCAGAGTGGTAACTCACACTGGCAGGTGAACCCCACAGGAAAATCATTTGCCTGACCTCAACTATGGTTTTCCGGTAGAGCACCAAAATCTTCCTTCTGGAGGCATCTGAGATTAAATCATGCAAAAGACAAAAAGCCAGAAAAGAATCTGAGGAAAAATTATGGTTGTTAGCCTATGTAAACTTATTTTATTGTTATTACTGTTACTTCCTATAGAATAATAAAGGAAATTAAGCAGAAAGAGTGTACAATTCTAGCATACTGATAAAACCCATTATAGTTCTCTGAATGTTCTAATCTTATGCATGTACACATACACGTTTGGTCTCTCTTTCCACTGCCAATGTATTTGCAATCACATTTCTAAGTTTCTGTATGCTCTTTATGGCTCTGTAATGATCATCCCATAATTCACTCAGCCTTTCCTTTATTGTAGGAAAGGATTGTAAACTATGTAATTTGTTTGTTTGTTTGTTTGCTGTCATAAATAACAGTGGTATAAACAGCTTTGCACAGACAGCATGTCCTACAATCCTAAGGAAAATGTTCCTTTTTATTTATTGTTTTTCATTTATATTACAAATCACCTTCTCTAAGAACTCTATAGGATACTTGGTTGATGTATATCAACCACAGCTTCTACTTATGTGAAACAATTTGTGTTTATTTATTCTGATAAATAGCCATTCTGAACCTCAAAGTAAGCAAAGACTTTTGCCTAAAGCAAGGATATAGACTTTCACCTAGTAGACTAAAGATAGTATTATTTTCTTTTTTTATTATTATTAGTGGTTTTTTTTCAAAGATGGTATTTTTAATGCCTGGCTAATAAAGAGCTATTTTGGAATAATGTTCTCCAAGGTTTAACTTTAATGATTGACTTCATTCCAGGAAGAATCTAGAAGCTGCTAGATCCTTCTAATATCCATTCTTCCTAGCTTCCCAGTTTTATTCTGAGCAACGATATGACCAAGTGTTAGATTCCAGCTCCTTTTCATCTAAGGGTGGCAGAGGAGTTGTAAGCAGGTTACTGGGCATCTGAGCAGGCATATGGAAGGTGGCTTACCTGGTTTGCTTTCCCTTACCTCCTTGACTTTCCCCTGATGCCTGGAACATTTGTAATAGCTGATATTGCAGCTGTCATTTAAAAATCATAAGCATGGAAATTTTGTGTCAGGGATACAGTAAAAATATGGATTTTGAACCATCCATGACTATCTACCTCCAGTCTTTGTAATGGAAGAAAAAACTTGATATGTACTTTAAGCTACTTTTATCGCAGGTTTCTATTACAGCTGAACCTGATACCTGACTTATGCAATGCAGTCAACAGGATGCTGGCTCACATAGAACTTCCTAAGACAGTGGCCTTCAAACTTTAGTCTGCATCAGAATCACCTAGAGGGTGGAGTCTGAATTATAACCACTATGAGATCATCATACCTAACAAAAATGACAATTCTTTAATATCACTGTGTCCAGCTTCAAAATGTGGATCAAATGTACACCAGATACGTTTTTTGTGTTCACAGTTGTTTTTTATTTATTTGATTTGATTTGCTTTATTTTGTTTTGTTTCAAAATGGGGTCTCACTATGTTGCCCAAGCTAGCCTCCAACTTGTGATCTTTCTGCCTCAGCCTCCTGCATAGCCAGGATTAGTCACATGCTGTGGTGCCCGGCACCAACATCGAAAAATACATTGTTTGGCTTTATTTTACTTTTTAAATGTTCTTACTCTCATTTAGCTTTTGTCACTTAGAAGGGAAAAACATCCCTCAATTTAAAAGTCAGACAAATTGGGCCCTAGCTCTTTATGCTATATGATATACATATTACATTAAACAACATATAAATGTATATTTATATGAATATATAGAGTGAATATATATATATACTATATAT